TTTACAACAGTCCCTAAGGCCTTGTTTTTAATTGGCTATTTTCCGTTTCTATTCTAAAAATGTAAAATTACTAATAGTAAAATTTTCTGAAGTTTGTGATTTTAAAATTCTTTTTATAATTTCTAATATAACATAAAGGATGCATACACTTTTAACATCAGAACATTTTAAAATAGGTTACATTTTTTTAAATCTATTTTAATTGAATCAAAGATTTTTATTAAATCATTGCTATTGAAGTGATAATACATTTCTTTGTTGATATAACTTCATTCTGAATCTGACATATCTTGCTCTTCTAATGCCTACCTGTATTCTGTTAATATGTATTTGCTGCCTATCTGTATTATCAGTTGAATTATTACAAATATGTAATGTATAGACTTGTAATTATTTAATAATATGTGTGTTTTCTGTATGAATTTATCTGTGCATGTTCGCTTCAATCATGCTCTGCCAAAAATAAATGACTGTCAACCGAACAACTATGACTGCAGTTTCAAATTTATGCATCAGGTTTATCATCATTCTGTCACTCCTGAAAATTTCATCACACGCATATGTAAGATAAAAAGTATGTAAATCAAAATTTAAAAATTTAATAGATAATTTAAACTAGTGGTAAAACTTAAATTCTCCCTCTCTGTTTTAAAATATGTAATAACTTCTCTTGATTGCATCATTTCTAGACCTTTCCTTTTTGTATGGCATGTGCAGTGCTGATGATAATTGTGAACTGAAACTTTTAACTTGAACCAAAACCTTTCTTTTCATTGCTTCCATGTTGCATAACTACGCACTTCAGCTTCACTCTCCGCCCTGCTAGGATGTAATTTTGCCGTCTTGCTTGCTATCGCTATAATATCAAAAATGTAAATGCTCTTGAATAGTGCCAAGTGATTGTGGCCACAAACATCAACTGGAAAATAAAAATGGTATTGAAACCGCCTCGACTGCTAAGTTCTTTAGATATTATCAAGTCAACATATTAGCTTACGATGCAATCAGAACATTTCAATATCGATCGACTATCTATCTTATCTGGGTATTACGCATCAATAGTGTTCTGGTTTTCCTTGCTTTTATTATATCATTTACATATTCCCCATAACCAGTTTTATATTAATAAATTTTATTTTCAGTCAAAGAAAGTTTTCTTTCGTTCATACCCTAAATGAAATGTCAAAATTGAAAACAATGTTTTGAAAGTATTTGTAGCTGTCCTAATTCAGCAATTTTGACTGTCAACTAAATGTCATTATTAAGTAGAAAATTGAGATAAAATAAATCTAATTACTTGTTTAATTTCTTTAACCATTTCGACCCGACTTTATGCATGATTAAAATTTAACCATGAAAAGTAGTTTAATTTAATGCTGACATACTAAAAGAAGTGTAATAAGAGTTTAAAATTTTTAACTTCTCCCTCTTGCTGGAAATCTTCTGTGACAATATGTCCCAATCATATTGTCAACTGGGACTATTTGTCCCAATCGTCTAGGATATTATGATAATAACCTTACACTGCATGTGAATAAATAACAAAGTTAAATGAAATGTACCGAATATTTTTTTCTTACAGTACAAGTTGTGATATGGCATAAAGCTGTCTTTATAAAGTGCAGCCTGACATTTGGCAAAATAGGCCAGGTTTCTTTAGTCATTTATTTATTTCCTAATAGCTTAAAAACATTGCAAACATAAAAACCCATTAAAAAATGGGTTTTATTTATCCTAGGAACAAAGGGGTTAAAGTAGTTAATGTTTATCCTGAATATCTCTGTTTTCTTAGTTTATTTTAGACACGAGTCTTGTATATCAGACTAATTTTTACTATTTTACTAAACTTTAAAATCTGAAACAAGACACAAGTCTTGTTTCAGATTTTAAAGTTTAGTAAATTTAAGCCCATATACATATCCCCCCATCCCAAGTCCATAAAGTGTGATTCTTTAAACACACCTACAGACTTCTGTAGTAACTTACAAAAGTACCTTGTCTGAGCAAACTTCAAAATGAGTTGATCTGCATATGGATATTGTAATTTGGAGTCTTGCATATCTTTTGAACATTATTCTTCAGCTATTATTAAAAAAGCTTTATAAAATGGATTTAATGCTTATGACTTTTAAACATTGATTTGATTCATTTATCTAGATGGTCAGCATGTATTTCCACAATTATCTCTTTTTCAGTTGATTAAACTCACTTTTTGCAAAGTAAGTAAATAATTAGCATTTAGCCTATTTGCCTTTATAACTCTTAAAATGAAGAAATTGTTCTCTAAAAATCGATTTTTTGCATGTCTCTTTTAACCTATTTGGTGTTAACCTGTTAAGTTTCTACCTTTTAACCTGGAAATGTTCCAGAGTTTGGTCTGCTACCCAAAATGTCCTATCCCAAAAGATTTCCATGGTAAGTCACCACTGAAGGAGTTAATGTATTCAGCTGTGAATCTGTTTTGACATTGGATAATATCTCAAAACAGTAGGGAAGCTAGTGTAAATCCATCACAGGGTAATATATTTTAAAATTGATAAAAGATTTTTATGGTCATACTTGAATGATTCTCAGAACAAGAGCTGAATGTTTGGAAGTGGTATCTGTTATCTCACAGAGACACCAATCTTAGCAGCCTAATTAGTTAGTCTTTGAACTGCAAGCTTTTCCCCGCCCCCTCCAGTAGATATTTTTATAGAGTATAATTTGTAAAAGGGTAAGTCTTCTCATAAAGTGGAATTCATAAAGTAATGCCTAATTTTACTTTCAAAAATTTTTTGACATACCATTACCAGATGATCAGATTTTATACTTAAGGACTGAAAGTCTGAAGTGTTGGATCAGAATTTTGGGAGGGTTTGCTGAAGAGACTCATTGCTTTATGTGCTTACTTTTAAATAATTAAATGTTGAAATATGGTCAAAGGAATGTATTCCTTGTAATTTCATGAGAAGAAAGTTGACTAAAACAATTTATCATTTGTTTATGTTGTATGACTATTATTGATTTTTAGCTGTAAAATGCATTTTACTTAAAAATTTAAAGGTATCCTTTCTTTTTCTTCTCTCTCTTTTTTTTTCTTAAAGATTTACCTTCATCATAGGCTGGGCTTAGGGATATTCTTTCTTATGGAGGATGTATCTGCATAAGCATACTTTTCCTTTGGTTTTAAGAGTCGTTGAACACTGGTAGTTTAGTCAGAGGTTCAAATCGTGCAAACGGGCTGGCTGCATGGGCGTTTTCGGGGTTTTACCTATGTGTAACATGTATACGAGCCAGTTTCCTTTAGAAAGTCCTTCACGAAGGCATCCCTCCTCTTAGGCAGATAGCCCTAGTGTGCTTTGCCATAACTAAATAAACCAAACCAAGCCTTTGGTTTTAAGATCTCAAACTTGATGTTATTAAATGGCATTCAGATTTTTATTGAAGATTTCAAACTTTTATCATTATGTAGGAATTTAAGGAAAATGTCCTCAGAGAGATTCAAAAATTTAATCTGATTGAAGAGTAAGCCATAAATGAAAATTTATTATAGCTGTCCTATTTATCCTTATTTATTTATAGCTGTGAAGGAGGAATTGTGTTAAAAATCATGACATAGCTGAGGTGGCCAAAATTTATTAGTAGGAGCCAGACAAAAATTTGGAAAAATGGAACAGCAGCAACTAGATTTTTATGTTTTAAAAACGGGGAAACAATTATTGAACAGAAAATGTTTAAGTAATTTTACATTTGCACTTTTTATGTAATATTGTTGTTTAATATAAATAATCTTGTTATTCTTTCACTGTAGTTGGGAAAGTAGTTTCATTTGGTGCACATGCACAAACATTTTGGACAATGTACTTAACCTTTTTCTTTTTAAACAGAAAAACTGTCGAACATTTTCATATGGTGTCTAAAAATTTGTTTTTGCCTTAACCCAATATAATTGTCAACTGATTTTTCGTGGGAGTAAACTGAAAAGGAAGTGTTCTTGCAGTGGTGTAGGAAGCTTCAATGCTTTTAACTAGAGTAACATCATGACTTAATAAACAGAATTAGCAATTTTTCTTAAGATGATAAATGAGATGGAAAATAGCATTGTTTGGAAAAAAAAAAAAAAAAAAACTGTACTTTCATATATAAAAATTATTTAAAAAAATTGTGAACTAAGCAAGGATTTACATAAAGAATAGTATTGTGTAAAGAAACAGTTGGGTTAAAAAAAAAAAAAAGCAAAAATGAACTTTGCTGGTATTTTTCCATGAAAAATAGTAGTTTCGTTTTCATACACAGCTAACTGAAAAACCAACATGTAAATATATATATAAAAAAAAACCTAAATCATTTAATTAATTTCATAAATGCAAAATTCAGATGTGTATTTAACTAAATGTATTTGTGGTGCCATTCAGTAAGATTGGGGATATGTCTTGCTTTCTTATAAAAGTGATTTGCAATAAAGGGTCTTTTGCCTTGGTATAGAGTCACAAAGATAGTTCATAATTTGAAATTGTATAAAATTATTGTGTGCTGATTTAAAAAGGAAAATTTCAGATTGTTACAAAGGCCTGTGGTTGTGCAAAATGTGTTTAGAGTAGGAATGATAGCTCTAAAAAATAAAACAGTTGTTTGTTATTGTGCATACTGTTTGTTGTTGCTTAACATTTATAATTGCTTATACATTTAAGAGGCAAAAGTTGCACAGTTTGGTTATATCTGATTCGTAACCTCCTAGTGATTTCATTTCTTATGAAATAAAAAAATAAATATTAAACAACTGTTTCTTTGTTTTAGTTTACAAGTTTATTGTTACTTTCTAGATTTGTAAGTGTGTAGGAATAAATGAAATATAAGGCATATTCTTTACTATTAAAATTCACTAATAACTGTGCATAAATTATAATAATATGGTGGCTACTGATGATTTCTAATATTCAATAAATTTTTCTGCTATCAGTGATTGATATCTGATGCTTGAGTTTTATATCGTGCTTTAAAATGCATTGTTATTACAGGTTAGACATTTTGAGCCAAGTTCAAGAAAGTTCACCTACAAAGCTGCCATCATGCAAAGCACTGCTTGTTTTAGGTAATTTAATAATTATAATTTATGTACAATTTGGAAATTTTTATTTGCTTCATTAATATGTGTAGCTCTTTATTGAATATAAATTTTAATTTACATATTATTAATAATCTTATAACTATTTTGATCAAAGAGATAATGATTTTGGTAAACAAATTATTAATTGTTCTAATCAATTAAGTAATCAGCGAAGTTAAAGTATGTTTAGTGTTTTAATATTTACACAATTTTCTTTAAAATTTATTTTTATCTGTTACTGCTCTGTTATTGGGAATGAACTTGATGCCAAATGTTTTCATAAACTTGCCGAAGATGTTACTTGAGATGAAGTCACCAGTGTTTACTTTTAAAATCATTGCAATTGTTTACTTTAAAAAAAAGTAAAATAGTGTTTTTTTAAAAACTGGCAACGAGAATACAAATTCTAAAGGCTGTAACTGTCACTTTTGTTTTTATTATTATTATATTGCCATAAATAAAAAAATTTGGGACTTGGCTAATGATGAAACATCTTCCATATAATTTCTTCAGGAATGCGAATTATTCACTCTGAATGAAAGTTCACGAAAGCCATAAAATGCAGCTCTACTTCAATTTGAGACAAGTACTGAAATAGATATATGAAGATATAATATACTAGGGGAAAAAAAAGATTACATTTTCAAAATTGGTTTGAAGGATTGTGCCTCAGTTTTCTTAAAGGCATTTTGTTTCATTTTTGTTCATGTTTGGAATTATCTTCCATTGAATTTTGTCAATATTGGGTTGATATGACTCATTGCATTTTTATTGACTGGAGCAATTATAGAAGAGAAGTCTGTGGCCGTGCATTAATGTCTATTTAAAATAATGTTATTTAAAATAGGCGGCACAAGTAATGTTGCCAAAGTCTGTTTTTGCGTTGTAAAAACAACATTGTTTGTATCTTTCTGCCCAGGAGGGTTTGAGGCGGGATCTGCCAAGAAACAAAGAATGCTTTTGAATTGCTGTGGCTAACTGCTATGTCAGAACTTATTATTAACTTAAAGTTATTGAAGAAAATGTTACTGATGGCACTATATACTCGGACTGTTGTAAAGGGTAGAAGCACTGGAGTATAAAAAGAGGCCGCATTTGAAATTTTCGTCGTTAACCTTAAATATAATTTTATGGATCCTGATATTGGTTGTTTTACCAAACTATTAAAAGGCTGTTGGGCCGTGCGAAAAGGTGAAATAAACTTTAACGCGACACTCAACGTAACTGGAAAGATTCTTATTTAATTTCGTTTATGTGGCAGAAAAAGCATTACTATTAAAATGGTAATGTTTTCAGACATTTAAAATGAAATCTGCAGTTTCATGCCTTTGCAATTTATTCTTAATTCACTAACCGATTTTTTCCTCCTGATTTCTTTGGCAAATTCTTTAATTTACATTAATTAAGTATTTTTAATTTTACAATTACCTTTTACGTTATTTTTCCATTGGGTTTTCCTTCGACTTAACCCTATCATAAATATTTTGGTGATTATTTATTCGAACTTTTCACCAGATTGTCAGCTTTGGGCAATATCTGAATCTGGTCCCAATAACAGAACAGTACCATTTATCCAGTATAAGAAGATGACAAAAAATCCTGTTGTTCTAAGAATAAAGGTGGTTATTCTCAACTAGATTAAATGGTGCTTTTTGATTATCTACATATTCTTGAAAAGGATTTGAGAGGCAGTGTGCTATGTCACCAAAATATACTAACGACACAGGTACACTGTGACAAAAAAAAGGGGTGGACAGTTCTATATCTCCCGTTCTACTGTGCCGATTGACAAAATTCAAATTGCGTTTTTCATGTCTCCAAAGGGCAACTTAGGATATTTATTAGATTTATATATAGCATTGTTCTAATATAGGTATCTTGACACAAAATTGGACTTTTTCTGAAATGATACCAATTTTTTTCCTTAAAAGTTTTTAATTTTGGCCAAAATCAGCAGAAGGTCCTCAATTTTAATCATCTGAAATTTCTGTCTCTTTTTAGGACTTCCATTTTGAGTGTGAATTAGCATTTTGGAGGAATATTTTTGGCAATTCACTGACGTATATATATGGTTGTCTTTTGAATGGGTTCATGAGTTATAATTTATTTCTATTTCTAAAATAAATGATGGGATATTCGAGTTTCTAAGCAAGAAGTGAAACGTAAGCATTTCAAAATACATTTTTTCCAATAAAGAGCTCTTAAACAACTTTTCGTTTTTGGGGATGTGAATTCTTTTATTAAACGGTTCTAAATTTGGCGATTTTAAGATCAGTTTTTATAGAAACTTTTTAATTCCGAGATCTGAGAATTTTTCGACGATTTTTTTTAAAGCATCATAACATTGATAAACTTCATTAAAATAATGATAATATATTGAAATTATATTTAAAAAATAACATTAAAATAAAACATTTTTATTTTTCGCTGTCGTATTATTATAAAGTTTCATTTTGGCAACTTATTATACAATATTTTGTATCTGAAAAATAAACAAGATAATAATGCTATAAAGCACAATTTACGAAACAGCTTTTAACAAAAGCAAAATTAGCTATGTAATTAATTAAAACTGTCTTTTATTTAATTTTTTCATAGTAAGAGTTTTTCCCATGTAATTGTCTCAGAATATGCATCAATTTTCTCTATAAAATTAATTTTACACTTTTTCCCTCCTTTTTTTTCCAAAATACTTCTGTCTTTTTGCTTTTATAGAAGTGGTAAGGATAATTTTTCTTTAGGATTTTAGACATTGCAGCTTGGAAAGTTTAGAAGGATTTGAAGACAAGATTTATAGATTCACAATTCTAGAAGATTCGAGAAATATGTGACAAAATGAAAAATGTCTCCATGGTATTAGCATGTGATGGATGTATTTTACAGCAAGTTTGCTATGAATTTCTTACTTTTTGGAGAACGTCTGGAAGGACAATGAAACATATTTGAATGTTTTCTTCTGATACTAGAATCTTAACATGTTTATCTTCCCTTTGTTTCCTCTACTTTTCACTAGACACAAGCATGGAAAATATCAAAAATGCTTCTAATTTTATCACATGGGCAGCCATTATAGAAAGGGATTTTTTATTAATAAAGAAATTGAAAACTTACACTTTAAAAAGATTCATCTAATATGTCTTAATGCATCATACACATAGCTGGCACTAGGCATTTTCCCACCTGATGCGATCTCTGTGGATCCTAAATTCTGCTGCCTAGTGCCTTTCTAAATTCTGCTTCCAATGCCTGCTATAAATTCTAAAAGTTATGCCATTTCTAGATTTTGTTGTTCGGTGTGTCACTAAATTATAAAAATTCTGCCACATCAGCTCTGTAACCAGCCTTTTACCATATACAGTCAAAAGTCTTTAATTCGGACTTGTTGGGACTTCGGAGATTCCAGATTTTCGGTTTTTCCGGTTTATAGATCATCAGTTATAATCTGGTAAGATGGCATGCAGAAATTATAAAACTAAAAATATGAAACCATAATTTATGAAATAAAGAGCAGTTATTATCTAAAGGGTATCAAAATTTACAAAAAAAAAAGCTTATTATTTATTTTTTTACTTTATTAAACATTTGTTTCAACGCGCACATGCGTAAAGCATACATTACATATAGTAAAAATTAGAAAATTGCAATCAGAAAACTATTTGTTGTGTATTTGTGATATTTATGATGGCGAGGAATTTGATTTAAATCATATCAAAGACGGAGTACATCGAGATGAAATACTACATTTAGTAAGGAATTATAAGCCGAATAAAATAAAAACATCTGCCCTGAAGATAAGGATCATGCTGACAGATCAACTTCCAGTTCATTGCGTGCCGCGACGTCCCCCCCTTCCCTGCAGAGCAGCGTGAAATTGATAAAGAGTTTCGGAATGGTTCGAGAAACAAAGGATATGCCTTTACCCATTTTTTGTAGCAATTCCACTTTTTGTATGATGGACATCGAAACATGCTTTCGCTTTGTAGATCCTTTGGCAGCTCCAGAATCGGAAATTCTTTCTGACATAATCGAAAGTTCAAGCTTACTTTTATAAAATTGCTCTAACAGTCTGCAAAAAATAATAAGCCGGATCCAATTCGAAGATTAAGAAACAATGCACTCTGCAACATTAACTAAAATAGATAATTAGATAATTTTAGCTTAGCTTATACCGTCCATTATACATTAAATGCGCATGCATAAACATATTATTATATAAAGGTATTATGGTATGCGGAAAGGTACTTTCTGAGCATGCGTAAACGCTGTACATGCGCAGAACGTTTGTAGCTTTGAGGTCCGGATTAAAGATCATTCCGGATTATGGATGTCCGGATTAAAGACTTTTGACTCTATATTTATTCTGAATGTTGATATTACTAAAGAAATAAAATTAGCCGCTTTTTCTGTATATTCTAAATGCATTTAGTGTTTTTTAGAATAACAGAAATCCTTAATTAAATCCAAAAATTCTAAAATGAAAAGGAAACGTGTTGAAGAAAGAAACGGAATACATAAAGAAAATTAGGTACTATTCGGTTTTGAGGGCCGTAAAAAATTGCCAAACTATTGTTGATGCCAGTGCTGCCAAAAATAATTGCGGCAACCCTAACGCAAGAAAGGAAGTATAATAGTAAATAACTATCTAAGATTGATGTTTTATTTTGGATGAAAGGTTAATTCCATATAATACTTTTTTATTATTATAATTTATATAAAAAAGGCTAAACATGACTCAGTGGAAGCATAAGAGTAAATAACTTTCAGATCATTATTATAATTTATATAAAAATTGCTAAACATAACTGAATGGATACCTGCATCGCTATTTTGCTACCGAGTTATCGCTAAAGCATAGTTTTATCTCGTTGGTCATTCAAACACAATTTTCTATAATGAATGATGCTATTTCTTTGAAAAAATTCTCGGTAAAGTGCAGAATGGTCCACTTATTTGTTTGCCGCTTTTTACAAGGGTAAAAAAATTGG